TTGTTCATTTTCAATCAAAAATATTTCTCTGTAATATAAAGTAACAACTACGAACATAATTGTGAAGTGATATTAGATTATAAATTTATTAATATATACATATTACGTGCAACTACACTGAGAAAAGTGTTCTGATTAAACCAACAAGAAAAACCCAACCAGAATAGCGTTTTGATTGGACCTTTTTGTTGATTTAATCATAACATTTTTCTTTGTATACATATCTTTTTTATACAAATTTTTTTAGAAGTCCACTTTCCGATGAAATTTCTGCGAGAGTTCACTTTAGAGTTCGTTTACACAAGGAGCTATAATCACGCAAGGCATTTACGTCCGCGCCGGTCGATAGATGCGTTATCCGTCTATTCAACCTTAAAGGGGAAACAATCAAAATAAGAGTAATAGCGACCGAGCTGTCATCGTGTGCGCTTTATTACTATAAAGCGATACATCTTTGTCGAGGTCGATTTTCTGCGCGTCGATCGACGGGACGTTCGCATGAATTAATACAATGCAGCGGTCGATTGGGTAATAGTTGATCGATACATTTAACAATTATCTGGTCTATAACCACGAAAGAAACGATATGAAATGGAGAAATAATTGTGCGAGCAACTAGATTTTATCTACTTATTTTTTTTTAACTTAAGTGATTCACCTGTTTCTCTTTGTTATTTGAAGAGATATTAAATAGTATTATAAAACTATCTTGTATCTGGCGATTTATAACATCATTAAATTTAAAAGAATTTCGGAACTTGTAAAGATAATCGATCGCGTAAAATTGATGACGACAACATAAATTGACGTGCGCGCGTCGAAACATTATATTGAATTACATTAAAGAAAGTCTGACAAGTCATTCTCAGTAATTTATGTTAATTCTATTCCTCGCTCTAAGAACCTGTGCTCGGATCATTTATCTCCCATCATAAATATAGCAACTGCTGTTTAATCACTACTTTTGCGCACGTACGATGGAATTTTAACAAATTACACATTTGTAAATTTTATCAGTCATAAATAATTTTTATCTTAAATTATTCTCTTTTTCATGCAATATTTTGTCATTTGCTGTTTCCCTTTTTTTTTCTATTTCCCACGTCGACCATCCACTGTCCACGGTTGCATGCGGTCATGTGTCACGTATAATGTTCCGAGAGGACTCGCTTTTAGAGAACACGGAAT